AGGTTCGCCATGAGAAGTCCAATTATAATAATTGGCAACGAAACCTTTTTCGTACAAATCCCACACAACTTGGTCGACATCTTTAAATTGAAGATTTTTACACTTTGTACATGGACATCTGATTTTATCGCCATCCATATAATTCTTCTGTTCTTGTGCAAATTTAATAAAATCTTCAACACCATTCAAAAATTCACTGCGTATTCCATAGTTATCGCGATGTTTTTGGTACATCCAACTTCTGTTTTGTCTATACATTATGCCTGTATATATATTATAATCAAAATAATATATAAGTACATTAATATTATTAATTAACTAAAAGCAGTACATTATTTGTGGCATTAATAATTTGAATTAACCAACTTTTCAATCATGTAGAAACACCCACTAAAATATTATTTAGAAACATTAAGCTGAAACCACTAATCGTTTTAATTATTAGGAACGCCCACTAATCGTTTTAAATTTTATTTAGAAACATTAAGCTGAATTATGCATTAACAATTAACAATAATTAACTAATTAATAAACAATAATATTTAAATTTTGCATTAAGCATTAAATTATTTGAATCCTAACTGAAATCACTACAAATCCTAAATTATGCATTAGCAATAATTAACTAATTAATAAACAAATTAAACCTAATCATCATCATTGATCAATTAACTAATATTTAAATCTAACTAATATTATCAACTCATCAAATTCTAAACCCATTTCCTCAATGTTTTAACTTAATTAATTAGTTAATTAATTAATTTACATTTAACTAATATTATTGTTAAATATTATCTCATTAATAATTCACAATAATAATTCACACTAAACTAAATAATAATAAAGTTTCAATCCTAGCTATATATATTATGCATCCCATTAACAATAATTAACTAATTTAACTTATTAATTAGTTAATTTCCATTTAACTAATATTGTTAAATATCATTAATTCACAATAATATATAATTCACACTTAACTAATAAAGTTTGAATCCTAACTTAAATCACTACAAATCCTAAATTATGCATTAACAATAATTAACTAATTAATAAACAAATTAAACCCAATCATCATCATTGATCAATTAACTAATATTTAAATCTAACTAATATTATCAACTCATCAAATTCTAAACCCATTTCCTCAATGTTTTAACTTAATTAATTAATATTCTAAACCCATTAGCTAACTAATTAATTAAATCACTACAAGTCACTAATTAATTAATCTATAATAAGCTAGCTAATACTTAAATCATCACTACACATCCTAAATTATTATGCATTAATAATAACAATAATTAAACTAATTAATATTTATATTTAAATTTAACTAATTAAATTACGTTAATAGTTTAAATAAATGAACAACTAACCTCACTAATTAATTATTAAGCTAATAATTAATTATTATTATATAAAGAAAAAAGAATCCTAACCTCACTAATAATAATTAATTATTAAGCTAATAATTAATTTATTACACAATTAAAAGAAATTAGTTAAAATGACATACCTTATCTGCATAAACTCGGAAAATGATGAACTGACGGATTACATCATTCAATCTTTAAACCGATACTACATCACTCGAATCTACGAAGTTTTGAACTGATAATTGTTGTTCTTGCAATTGTAATGGACGATGGGGTTGGGTTATATAAAAAAGTTTGTCACGGATTTATCACGGAGTTAAAAACCGGTCGCCGGTGTAAATTTGTCACGTACCAAATCCGTGACAACATTTTGTCACGGATTTTGTCACGGATAAATCCGTGACAAATCATTTTCGTGACAAATCCCAAAATTCCGTGACAAAGCCCGTGACAACTTTGTCACGGCCGGAATCCGTGACAAACGGCGTGTTTTTTTGTAGTGCAATAAGGGTCCCACGGGGTCCTGAGATCCCGTGCACCTCAAAAAAATAGCTATGTATTATATATATTATATAAAATTAATTATTCAATTTAAAGTTTCTATGTTGCGTGAGGTACCAAAACTATTTTAATTAAATAGACCAAAATTACGTTGTTTTGGTCTATCTTTTTACTCTTACCATTTACATTCACTTTTTACCCCTTTTCTCTCCCTTTTTCCTTCTTCTCTCTTCCTCTCTTCTCCGCGCTCATTCATTTACCGTAGTCCTGTTTTGACATTTTTCTTTCCTTCATTCTCTTAAGCTTTCAATTTTCGGATATGTCAACTCTCAATTGACATGAAAATTATGAGAAGTCACTTTGTTGAACTATGAATTAAATTAAGGAGTAATTTTTTCTCCCTACCTTGATTTGAGGTTTGTCCCTTTCTTGTGCCTTTAGATTTAAATTTGTTTATGTATTTTTTTCTTTTCGATTTTAAGCATAGAATACATGTCAGAATATTTACTGTTTGATTACATTATTGTATTGTGATGGACTAGTGATGTTTATAATTTTAATTATAATTTAACTATTCTATCACTTTTATGCTCACTAGGTGTTTGTTGAAATGCTTCAATGTTTTTTGCATTCATATCCACGATTTCGTGTGTTCATTTTCCCTTTTTGTTAACATGTTTTTGGGTTTGATGGATTATAGATATTATTTCTATATTTTTTGTGTTCATTCTCCCTTTTTGATTTTATGTATGTACAGAATATATGTTACTCCGTCCCGTTAGAAGGTTCCCGTCCACTATTCTCATAGTCAACTTAAATCATTTTTAACTTTTTACTTTATAAATCAAATTTTTGCCAAATTTACATTTTTTATCAGGCTTTGTAGCGGTTTTAATGTAGTTTCTGAATATGTTAATTTTATTTACTAAAAATAAACAGATTGTGAACAGGGATTGAGTTGCTTTATCGATAGTCAAACATCGTAAACCGTTCACGGGAACCTTCTAGCGGGACTGAGGGAGTAATTATAATGTTGGATGCTTATTTATAGATTTGTGATGTTAATAATAATAAAAATTGTTCAACTATTTTATTTGACTTTTATGCTCATAATTAAGATGTTTGAAAAGTCACTTATGTAATTGACTACTCTTTTTCAAGACTTTTAATGGCTTTCATATGAAAATCTGTACTCATCATTTTCTTTTTCTCTTCACATTTGAATTCTAGTATTTCGTTAATAAACTCACCTTCAAAGAATTTCTTTTTCACATGTTTTTATCGCGCCACTCAAACAAATTTAATTGGTTTTATAATCTTACTAAATTGTTAAAGCTCATTCTTTAAATGAGCTTTAATCGATTATGTTCTTATTCACCATTTATATTCTTATAATCTTACTAAATCATTAAAGCTCATTCTTTAAATTGTTAAACTAATTACTCGTATGTTTTTATGCTTCTTTAATACTCCCTTCGTCCCATATAGAGGTTCCCGATTCAGTTTACGATGTTTGACTGACGATAAAACAATTTGATCCCTGTTCACACTCTGATTATTTTTAGAAAACAAAATTACATATTCAGAAACTACATTAAAGTCGCTACAAAGTCTGATAAAAATATGTAAATTTCATAAAAATTTGATATATAAAGCAAAAGGTTAAGAATGATTTAAGTTGACCATGTGAATAGTGGACGAGAACCTTTAAATGGAACACATAGAGTATTTTTTTTTTTGTTTTATATTAATAAAAAATTAAAGATATAAAAGGGTAGGGATCCTGTGGCTCCGATTTTTTGGGTCCGCAATTGATGAGGGCTTTGTAGTTGGGAATCAAACATGTAATATTAGATGGAATATTTTAGCTTTTTTTATTATTAAAAAATTGTTTTCCCCAAGCTTTATGAAGTTCGAAATTGGCTGGAAGGTGTCAGACTCATGGAGTGCGCTGTAATTTGGCTGGATTGCATTTTCATTTGCATTCAAACAGTAACATGCTTCAAGGGAATAATAATACTGCAGAGTTGGGAACTGAGCTCTCTATATTGGCTGTTTCCACCCTTGGATTTTTCTCTTTATCATTCTGTTCCAGCTTGCAATCTAAATATTTTTGAAGAATTTATGACCGAGTAATGATTGCTACGGAGTATTAAAATATTGGGCAGCTAATGATTAATTTGGTTGGTATGTTTTGAAATATTTAGGACTAAATAAAAGGATAATTTGAAGGACAAGAGTTTAAATTTTAAATTCTCAAAATAGGACTAACTCTTCCTATTCTACCCTTTCCTTTGTCCTTTCTAAGAGGACTTTTTAAACAATCATTATAAAATATTAAAAACTTAATATAAAAAAATAAAAATCATAATAAATAAATAATATATATACCTCAACCACCACCTCAGTCACCTTCAAGCACCGCCACCTCCAGTTGCCGAAAAAGAATGTCAAGTTGGGAAAAAAATGTCACCATGATGATAGTTTTGAAGAGAAGTTGGATATTTTCAAAGAGTAAAAATGTCATCTTCATGACATTTTCAAAGAAATGTGTCATTTTTTATATAAGATGACATTTTTTTCCGGCAACCGAAGCTGGTGGTGCTAGGAGGTAGATTACGTGTTGGCAGTGACCTACATATTTATTAAATATCTTTTAGGTATTTTATTTTATTAGACTTTTTTAAAGTTTTTTAATTTTTTTATTTTTTTTATTTTTGATTTATTTTTTCACGTTTTTTTATTAATTTATAAATATTTTAGTATTTTTTATGGAGTATATTTTTATTAAAAATAAAACTGTGATTTTCCTATTAATAAAATAAATCTATTGGAAATTATAGAAAGATAGTACGTAGTAGAATGGAAAGAAGAGACATATATTAATCTTATTTTGGAAATAAAAATATTGTACTCCTATTATTAAATTTTGGGCTAACTTTAGGGGGAATACGCATTTCATAATTCACCCATTCCGCCTATAACCTTTCCCGCCTATTAAAAGCTGAAATCATTCTATAAAAAGTTCTTATGACTATACGAGTACATTACAAACTTGCTAAGTATAAAGAGTGATGACTATATTGATCAATGGAGAAGAAACAAAAATGTCCCTGTTGTAAAACCACCAAATTGACAAGTGTGAATATTCATCCTTGTAATCAGGACACTAAGCAAACACAAATCCTTGTAATCACACACATGGCTAGATTCAATACTGCCAGCAAATTATGTAGAATCATTCCTAGATGATTCATCCCTGAGTTTGGCTAGTATAAATAGGGTTTGTTTCATTCATTTTAAACACACACAAACTTAGAAATTCAGAAATTCAGAAATTTTCAGATATTAAGAAGAAGATATTTAGAGCTTTTATTAATATATCAATCTCTCAAGTTTAGTCTTCATCTTCTTCATTTCACAACACGTTATCAGCACGAATCTGCTCAAAGTCTTCAAGAAATCATCATCTCCTGCAGGTATTAGCATCAATATTTATTATCTTCTTTTAGTATTCAAACCTGAAATTATTCTCTGTTTTAAATAAATTTTCTATCATATACGGAAAGAAAATATTGATAACATACTTCTGAACAATTTGATTTATTCAATCAATTTTATAAAGATCTAGTAAGAGAAGACGAAATTGACTAACTTATCTATGTAAATCGTAATACTCAACAATGATGAAACTCTGTAAGGAAGATATAACAGATCGATAAAGGGGAGAAGTGATATGAGGACATGGGTGATATGCAGAATACTACGCATATATGTGTAGACATAAAAATCACGGGTAGCTAAATACAACTTTACATGCATGCAATCAGTAAGTTGTTTGTCTTTTTATTATTTAATGATCTGCACATGAATAACTAGATAACAAAATGAAAAATTGTTTTTAGACAATACAACTTAAGTCACGGGCTTCACACAGTTTAGTACATGTAAATAAGTATAAGTTTGATATGCAAAAATCATACAGAGTAATTGATTTCAATTTATGAATTAAAGTAGTCACATAATATTTGATTATTATCAAAGCAACTCACGTACCTCTCTATATTGGCAAGTATATGTGTTCAAATATACTCCGTATAAATTTATTCACATTACAAAATAAAGTAAAATAAAAAATAAATAGAGACACGTGGATTCATGCATGCATGTAACTTAAGTGTATACTTACGGATGACATACACGTATGGATAACAAATCATTAACAATATGAAATATCAATCACTTTAGACACATAACCATTTTTTAAATAATGTTATCAAAAGAGAATTCGACGTTCTTGATCTGTAGTATACACACTTATTTTGAAATATCATACTTTTACCAGACAAATAATGTTCGTATACACACTTTTACTAATTAAAGTTAAATCAATAAATTTTGTAGTATATCATGGCAAATATTATCAAAAGAGAATTCGACGTTCTTGATCTGTCCGGCCAAAAATATCTGGAATGGAAAGTCGATGCTTTAGCACATTTAAAGGCTAATGGTCTTGAAGACACCATTGAGGCTATTAATCAATCATCTTCCCAAGATAAAGCGAAAGCTATAATTTTCCTCCATCACCACCTCCATGAAAGTCTCAAATCTGAATATCTTTTGGTTGATGACCCAAAAGAATTATGGGACAATTTACAGGAGAGGTATGGCCACCAACAAAAGGTACCTTTGCCAAAAGCTCAGTATGACCGGATCAATTTAAGATTCCAGGATTTTAAATCAATCAGTGACTATAATTCTGCCATGTTCAAAATAACATCTAAACTAAAGTTCTGCGGACAAAAAGTCACTGATGCTGATATGTTGGAGAAAACCTTTTCTACAATGCATATTTCTAATATGCTGCTACAACAGCAATATAGACAAAAGGGTTTTAAAAAATACTCCGACTTAATATCAGTATTATTGGTAGCTGAGCAAAATAATGACCTTTTGATGAAAAATCATAATCTGAGTCCCACTGGTTCTAGTCCTTCGGTTTATGGTCCATCTAGCCATAATTTAGCCACTGAATCAAATGCAACATACAGTGACAGTAGAAGGCATTTTAAACGTGGACATTTTAATGGTCATAATAACAAGTCCCACCGAGAATATAAACAAGTCAATAGACCGAATTATAAGGGTAAGGGCAAACAAAAAGCCCATCAAATAAATTGCCCTCCAAAATCCTTGGGAAAATCGACTTGTTATAAATGTGGCATGACGGGGCATTGGGCTAATAAATGTCGCACGGCTAAACATCTGGTGGAGTTATTTCAAGCTTCTATGAATTTAAACAAAGGCAAAAATATGGAAGCTAATTATGTCAATGACACAACTTCATCTCTGCCAAAATTTGACGTATCCGACTTTTTCACTAATGATGCTATTATGGACGATGCTTTTGCCATAAACCAAAATGTTACAAAATAAAATAGTAGATTCCGTATGTTGTATAATACTAATTTTATGTATTTTTTCTTTCTTCCACTTTTATTTTGTTTTTAAATAAATATGTGTAATGTATATACTCTTATGTTAAATAAAATGAATAATTTGTGATCAAGCTAATGTTTATTTATATATATTGAAGATACGGATCATTCAAATGATAAAGAGCTATGTCTGATAGACAGCGCCACAACGCACACCATTTTGAGAAATAAAATATATTTTTCTCAAATGACTTTAGTTGAAGCTAAAGTCAATACAATATCAGGTGTTGCGAAGCTCATTGAAGGCTCTGGGAAAGCATATGTGATGCTCCCTAACGGGACAAAAATAATTATAAATGACGCTTTATACTCCAGCAAATCGCGGAGAAATCTATTAAGTTTTAAAGATGTGCGTCAGAATGGTTATCACATAGAAACCATGAATGAAAATCAAAGGGAATATCTTTGTCTCACGACAACTAAATCTGGCACTAAATTTATTTGTGAAAAAATGCCAGCATATTCCTCAGGACTATATTTCACATATATTAGTCCATTCGAAATAAATTTGGTTTCTAACATAAAGTTAGATGATCAGAAAACATTCATGTTGTGGCATGACCGTTTAGGTCACCCAGGCCAAGTAATGATGCATAAAATCATTAAGACTTCACTTGGACACTCATTAAATAATATCAGGGTTCCATTATCAAGTGATTTTCCTTGTAAGGCCTGCTCTCTTGGCAAAATGATCATCAGGCCTTCTATAAATAAAATTGCAACTGAATCACCTGCATTTTTAGAAAGGATTCAAGGAGATATTTGTGGGCCGATAGCCCCACCATGTGGACCATTTCGATATTTTATGGTGTTGATTGATGCTTCAACACGTTGGTCACATGTCAGTCTGTTATTGACTAGAAATTTAGCATTTACTAAACTCCTTGCTCAAATCATGCGATTAAGAGCTCATTTTCCGGATCATTCTATAAAGAAAATCCGACTTGACAATGCAGGAGAATTTACATCCCAATCATTTAACGACTATTGTATGTCGATTGGGATTGACGTGGATCACCCTGTTGCTCATGTCCATACACAAAATGGTCTTGCCGAATCTTTGATTAAACAATTACAGTTAATCGCTAGACCATTATTAATGAAGTGTAATTTATCTTCATCAGCTTGGGGACATGCTATTTTGCATGCAGCAAATTTAATTCGGCTTAGACCGACTGCATATCATGAATATTCCCCCATGCAATTAGTTACTGGACATGAGCCAAACTTAGCACACATTAAGATATTTGGTTGTGCTGTTTATGTTCCGATTGCTCCACCTCATCATACAAAAATGGGTCCTCAAAGAAGGTTGGGAATTTATGTTGGTTTTGAATCTCCCTCAATAATAAAATATCTCGAACCGATGACTGGTGACTTATTCACAGCACGGTTTGCAGACTGTCATTTCAATGAGACAGTGTTCCCAACCTTAGGGGGAGAAAATACTAAATTAGACCCAAGTACGAAAGAGATTACATGGAATGCAACAAGATTATCACATTTTGATTCAAGATCAAATATATGTGAACAAGAGGTGCAAAAGAATCCATTTACAAAATGTTGCAAATCAGTTGCCTGATGCATTCACAGATACAAAGAAAGTGACAAAGTCACATATTCCTGCTATGAATGCCCCTGCCAGAATCGAAATCACAATAGAGAATTCTGAAAAATCTCTTACAAATGATTCTTCTATACGCAAAAAGCGTGGCAGGCCACTTGGATCGAAAGATATAAAACCAAGAAAAACTAAAAGGCAGGAATTGATGTGTGGTGCCAAAGATGTTCATCCTTCTGAACAAGAAAATGAACAATTTGAAAACATTGGCATAGAAAATGATATTGAAAAAACAAATATCTCAAATGATGATCCAACTTCCTTAAACGAGGAAGATATTCCAGATAACAATAGAAACGTTGATAATTATGAAATTTCAATAAACTACGTTTCTACTGGAATGCAATGAAATCGAAAAGATGTTGATATTAATGACATATTTGTCTATGTCGTGGCCACAAATATTATGAATGAAAACAATGACAATGAGCCAACATCAATTGAAGAATGTCGGAAACGACATGATTGGCTAAAATGGAATGAAACTATTCAGGCTGAATTAAAATCACTTGAAAAACGTGATGTTTTTGGACCGATAGTCCCTACGCCAAAAAGCGTAAAACTAGTGGGTTTTAAATGGGTATTTGTGCGTAAACGCAATGAGAAAAATGAAATCGTAAGATATAAAGCCCGACTTGTTGCCCAAGGTTGTTCTCAAATGCCAGGAATTGATTATGAAGAAACCTATTCTCCAGTAGTTGATGCAACTACATTAAGGTTTCTCATTGGCATGTCTGTTTTTGAAAGGCTGCAAATGCGTCTAATGGATGTAGTGACTGCATATTTATACGGTTCACTCGATACAGACATTTATATGAAAGTCCCTGGAGGATTTAAAATGCCTGAAGTTTATAGCTAGAAACCTCGAGAAATGTTTTCCATTAAATTACAAAAGTCATTGTATGGACTAAAACAATCTGGGCGAATGTGGTATAATCGTCTCAGTGAATACCTTCTCAAAGAAGGATACAAAAATGATCCAATTAGTCCATGTGTCTTCATTCGGCGATCAGATTCGGGATTCGCCATAATTGCAGTATATGTTGATGACTTAAATATTATTGGAACTCCCGATGAAATTGAAAATACTGCAAAATATCTTATGAAAGAATTTGAAATGAAAGATCTCGGGAGAACCAAATTTTGTCTCGGACTTCAAATTGAGCATTTGAAGAATGGAATTTTCATCCACCAATCCAACTACACCAAGAAAGTGTTGAAGAGATTCTATATGGACAAAACTCATCCTTTGACTTCACCAATGGTCATTCGATCTCTCAACATACATGATGATCCATTCCATCCCCGAGAAGATGACGAAGAAATACTCGGTCCCGAAGTACCATATCTGAGTGCTATTGGAGCTTTAATGTATTTAGCTAATAATACTAGACCAGATATTGCATTTTCTGTAAATTTATTAGCTAGGTACAGCTCATGCCCAACAAGGCGTCATTGGAACGGGATCAAGCACATATTCCGTTATCTTCGCGGTACAGCTGATCTCGGCCTATTATACCACAAAGATGAAAAAGCCGCTTTAATCGGATATGCAGACGCTGGATACTTATCAGATCCTCAAAAGGCGAAATCACAAACCGGGTACGTATTTACTTATGGTAACACCGCAATCTCATGGAGATCTATGAAGCAGACATTGACAGCTACATCATCAAATCATTCTGAGTTAATTGCACTATATGAAACCGGAAGAGAATGTGTGTGGCTACGATCTATGATTCAACACATTCAAAACGAATGCGGTATGAAGCCTATTACTTGTCACCCGACTGTGATCTACGAAGACAACACTGTGTGCATAGCTCAGATTAAAGAAGGCTACATCAAAGGAGACAGAACGAAACACATATCACCAAAGTTCTTCTCTACTCATGATCTGGAGAAAGAAGGGACGATCAACATTCAACAAATCAGATCTAGTGAAAATCCGGCTGATCTCTTCACCAAATCTTTACCCCCGAAGAAGTTCATAGAACTTGTACAGAAAATCGGCATGCGTCGCCTTCAAAATTTAGCCTAAGTTCAGGGGGAGTATTTGAATGCACTACACTCTTTTTTCCTTCATCAGGTTTTTATCCCACTGGGTTTTTCCTGATAAGGTTTTTAACGAGATAGTACATCCAAATAGAACGACATCATAAGTCGTAATCTCTACCCCTTAATTTTCACACACGTTATCACAATAAGTTTTTAATTACAAATACATATTCAAGGATGAACATTCAAGGGAGAGTGTTGTAAAACCACCAAATTGACAAGTGTGAATATTCATCCTTGTAATCAAGACACTAAGCAAACACAAATCCTTGTAATCACACACATGGCTAGATTCAATACTGCCAGCAAATTATGTAGAATCATTCCTAGATGATTCATCCCTAAGTTTGGCTAGTATAAATAGGGTTTGTTTCATTCATTGTAAACACACACAAACTTAGAAATTCAGAAATTCTCAGATATTAAGAAGAAGATATTTAGAGCTTAATATATCTATCTCTCAGTTTAGTCTTCATCTTCTTCATTTCACAACAGTCTCTGAATTATAGGCTTATCATGAATTTTCTTTTTACCTAGCATTACTTTATTCCTTTCCTCCCACTATAATTAATTACGCAAATTATATCGTGGAATCTGTTCACCCTCCACTTAATGTGCCGATTCAACTTTAGGCAATTGCTTTGCTTCTTTCTTTCCTCCACTTATCTGCTTTACCGATTCAACTCAACTTTAGGTCATATTTATTATTTTTTCTTTTGCTTTTCTTTCTTTGTTTTTCTTTAATTTAATTCTTCTCCTTTTCCATAAAATTAAAATACTAAAAATTTAATTGCAAATTTACATTTCTTTATCTTCAACTTAAGTTATAATTGAATGTATTTTTTATTCTTTATCAATACATACCAAAAAGTTCATCAATTTAAATAAAATAAGTGATGGATAGTGTACCCGGGGGTAGCTTATCCGAGGGATATTATAAGAAATATCAAGACAGAGGTCAGAGCAAGTAAAAGAGAGAGTGTGTGGGTATGTATTCGATATATATGTTGTGTTGTGATTGCAAGGGAAAATGGATGCTATTTATATCAGCCATAAATGAAATAGCAGTCATAAATGCTAGGTCTAATCAACGGGGGTACATGTGTATGTGGCCGCATTTAATGTGGTGGTTTGGGTGTGACGTTCGCCTTCAATGCGGCGATCCAGCGCATGTGGAGGGGAGATCCTGTCGAGGAGAGTGCCTTCGGTTACATGCACCAGGGGGCCCTTGTATCGAAGGCTATGTATAAGCTGAAGGCCGTGTATATGCCGAAGGCTTGAAATACCGAAGGGTGCACTTAATCTCAGCCTGAAATT